GATTTCAGCGATAAGCCGTGACGATCTGACCGAAGAGATCTTAGAAAACGATCGTGTGTGCGAAAAGCATTTTGTTTCAGGAAGGGCAGCTAAGAGCTGGGATAAATTTAATATTGACTGGGTTCCGACATTGCTTTTGGGACACAAGAAAGCTACTGATCGAGCAGATCATAAAGAAGCGGCGGCAAAACGAAGCGAGAGAGCGAGGGAACGTGAACTGGTGAAGAAGCCGGCTTTTGAAAAGAGAGAACGAGAGCTAGAACTAGAGCGAACGGCGAACGGCGAAGAGACAAAACTTAATGAGCCCGGTGAACAGGTTTCAAACCTCAGCTTTGAAGGAAATGAGGAGGAAGAGAAAAAATTAACAGTTGAAGCTGGCACACAAACTGAAGAGTTTGAATATTTATTCAGCTCTCTAAACATTGACCGGAAACCATTTGATCGGTGGGAATTTGTACAAAACGAAGAAAAAGTTAAATTCTACACTGGATTGCCTTCCTTCGATATCCTGCAAAATGTTTTCGAACATGTTTCTCCGTTTGTTGCTTACAAGTCCCAGAATCTGACCACATTTCAAGAGTTTGTCATGACTTTGATAAAACTTAAACTTGACGCACGACATCAAGATCTTTCATATCGCTTCAATGTCTCCCTTTCAACAGTTTCAAGGATTTTTTCATCCTGGATGGTAGCGCTAGATGTACGCCTGGCTCCACTTATCAACTGGCCTGAACGTGAGGCTTTATGGCGAACTATGCCACAGTGTTTTAAATATTCATTTGGAAACAAAACTACCGTGATTATTGATTGTTTCGAAGTATTTATTAATAGACCATCAAATCTGCTCGCAAGAGCACAGACATGGTCATCGTACAAACACCATAACACTGTTAAGGTGCTGATTGGGATAACTCCACAAGGTACAATCTCCTATGTTTCCCAAGCTTGGGGAGGACGAACATCAGACAAATATTTAACTGAGAACTGTGGAATTTTAAATAAGTTGTTGCCTGGGGATCTGGTCTTGGCTGACCGTGGTTTCACCATCGCAGAGAGTGTTATGTTTCGGCAAGCACAACTAGCCATCCCTGCTTTCACAAAGGGAAAAGACCAGCTTGACCCTGTGGATGTTGAAAAAACTAGGGGGATCGCAAATGTTCGCATTCATGTCGAAAGGGTTATTGGCCTCCTTCGCCGAAAGTACTCGATATTGTCTGGAATTCTGCCAATTGATTTCTTAATTTCCAACCCTGGTGGCTCTCAGGAAGAAGCAACACCAGTGATTGACAGGATTATTAATGTATCTGCAGCTCTTGTTAATTTGTGCCCAGGCATTGTACCACTTGACTGAAATGGCAGCGAAAAGTTAAAGGAGCCTAGTTTACAGTGACAACCATGGGCACCTAAAATGACTTCCCCATTATTCTGACAATTTTCTTCTGGCTCTCTTACATTTAACTCAAGTCAAAATGGGATTTATCAAATCTGCTTTACTCTTTCTTTCAACCTAGTTTGTAAGAGTTTTTTAAAACTTGAAAGCAATAGGTAGCTGTTAATAGAAAGTTTTTAAAAAGATGAGACAATGAAAGTTGTTGTAAACTTTGTCAGGTGGCCAGGGTTAAGACCTGCTCAAATGTAAACTAACCTTCTAAAGCCACATGTCAGTTACATATTAAAAATCATAACTTAGTACAGTTTTGTAGCTGATGACCAAGTGTACTTAGTAAGAAATGAATGAAGTGGCCAATGGCAAGCTGTCCCTGATGAGTTGCATGACCGCGGGAAGTGGCCATTGTTAGGATAACGTTGCAGGTTTCTCAATCCGCAATTTCCTGCTTGAATTACCTTGTTTTCGTGACATTGCCCAGAATTGCAATTTGTGCCTAATACACTTCAACACTCGCTGCGAATCGGCTTCTATAAGGCTAACCTTATTAAAAGCCGACTTTTAAGATTTTTGTTTCAAAAACAAAGACAACAGTTATTTTCGTATCCGACCAAAATAGCTGGAAGCCACTTAAATCTGGTTTCCGATGATTGCAGTGGTTTTTCCATTATGATTTACACCAAAAACTAGAAACTTTTCATTAAATTGAAAGACGTTTTACAAACGCACACGTTTGAAAAAGACGGCGATCATTTCCTAGTGGGTGGCCGCAAAATATGTTTTAACTCTGTTGTCATACGAAGTAGCGTTGGACAAGTAACATTTCAACATTCTCGGAATGAGCGTCATTGATATAACTTGTAGAGGGAAATTGCCGACTCATTGCCGACTCTAATTTGCCTGCTAAATGGTTTAAACAGTCCTTGAAAAAAAACGAAAATAGAAAAAAATTTACTACACGCCGGATATATCCTTAACCCTGACACAATGTGATGAAAACATTACCGATTTTCGAGGAAATTTCCTCTGGAGCAATGCAACGCCTTCCGAGAACCCATACAGATCCCCGAGTGACGTGAACTTAAAATTGTTCACCAGTATTTCACGCAGAAAAAAGACAGTTAGTCAGGGTCAATGAAATGCTCTTTCAGTTGAGAATATTAACCAACATATTTTTAAGAACAAAGGACTTGTCTTCAAAAAAGTTTAAATCAGTCAGGCAAGCCGATATCGGTGTTGTTTGTTTGCAGTTGTTTATTTCAACTCGGTGACACTATAAACAAGAATTGATGTGTTTTCAACGAAGCTCATTCTTTCACTGAAGGGCTGTAAAACCCATTTGAACGATTGCCCAGCATGTTCGCTATTGAGGATGTTTGCCTTTAAAAAGTATTTACTCGATGGCGGAAAACCGACAAGGGTCTGTATCATTTTAAATGAAAGATATACCGCAAATCGATCCTATGTAGGCCGAAAACATTGAAAACATTGATTTAAGCCTTCAAAACTCGACATACATATTTGAACTGACAAAATAAATCAGAATTGTTTTACAGAGAGATTGATTTATTTATAGACAGGCGGCGAAACAATAACGAGCCCTTGTGTCTTTTGGACATACGCGATAAAAAGTGGGACTGTAAAAAAATTCCGACTTTGCGCCAGTCTCTTGATACAAACTATGTTATTAGAGGCAAATCATGATCATTAGGCAGCGTTCTAGTCCTTCCATATTCGGGTCTGGATAGATCCATGTTCCATGTTCCATTCGAGCTGTGGACTTTGCTTTTCAATAAGTTTGTCAGTTATCAATCTTATCCTTCTCAGTTAAACATTCTTCAAGGGTTTTATTAAAAATGATTGAGTGAATTTAAAACATCACATGGATTATATTCTTGTCTGATCAGTTACGGAAAGAGCTTGCAAGGATTATCGAGTTGACAAGTCTTGGCTTTTTTTTCATACTCATTTCATTGCTCCTTTGTCTCACGGGGCTCAAACATTTCTATCCACGAACGATAGACTTGCACAATTTATTCTATGTATGAATAATGACATTGTAAGAATGAAGGATTTTTACTTGCTTAAATATAAAATGGTTTCTCAAAGAATTTGTTATCCTTAGCAGCATATGGGAAGCATGTTAAAACTCTTCGATGCAGCAATGTCAGAAGGTTTCAGGTTCGAATCCTCGGGGGAGGATCTTGTGGAAAAGTTTTCAATATCTTTCTGCTTCGACCACTGAATTACAAGTCTACTGCATCTTTCTAAATCTATCACGAAAAAGCGTTTGTCCCGCAAAACTTGCACAATTTGGCAATGACGTAAGTTTAATATTTAAATTTTTTTTCGTTAAAAGCTGCATACATTAAGTTCATAACGTTCTGTGACACTCCTCATTTCAACATGGCCATTCCCGGTGGCAGTTACATGATGGCGGCAGGTTTCTTTAACTGAGATGCTAAGCTCAGTCAGAATGTAAATTAAGAAGTAAAGGTAATTGAAAACTGAGCTTTGGAATTATCTGTCTCGTATTTTCGCTTCAGTAGCCGGCTTGGGTTTGAAATAGCGCAGGTTGGCGAAATTTTCCGACAGAAGACTCCACTTGTAAGACAGACAAGAGCGAGAACAAAAATGAATTGTGGTAAAATCACGAACACTTATAATGTTTAAGCAAGACCAACAAAGTCTGAGCAGCCATTAGCAACGCCCAACCAAGCTCACTTTTAAAATCAAGCCAAAAGCCAACATTCAAAAACCTTGAAAGGAAAAGGACTCGTCCCATCCGTTAATAAAGGGTTTTATTAACGAGAGGGTGAATGGGTTCGCGGATCGACGGATTTGGTGTGCTCGGTAACTTTTGAGGCAACTCTTGGGGTTTGGAGCAATTTTAGCAGATCTGGCAACCTTGCAGAATGTTTACCTTTCTGAGCAATTTTTGAGCAAGTTTTAGATTTTAGAGCACATATCAGGCACGATTAGTCGACAATTTCATAAAAAAAACTTCGATTTATGCAAATTTCTCGAATGTTTCGCAGGCCTTTTATGTAATATTAGAACGGATAATCGGCTAAAACGACGGACCAAATTGTATGTCTTTGTTAATTTACTTTACAAACAACTCTTTAAAGCTAAGTTAATTGTTGCAAAGGGCGAAAAATATAGCTTAAAATAAACGTTTATATAAAAATATCAAGAAATTTAAGAGGCAACTTTTTAAATTTAGAGAGAAACTTTTGGCATTTTTGGCAACTTTTTACAACTTTTTGGCATTCCAGTGAGCAGCTTTCCAGCATCTTACGAGCACAATCCTGAGACAGGCTCAGTCTGTAATGTGACGGTTATGGAGCTTCGAGGTTTCGTAACTTTCATTACGGACTGGGAAAACGAGATCAGAAAGACATTTATTATGTATCTCTGGGTTCAAATAGAGGAGGAGGATTTCAATTCAAACTTCTGAATAAAATGGGCCATACATTGAATTATAATAACTGACTCCCTCACTAAGCCGACCACTCAGATGAACACCGAGAAGGCCCTGGGCACAAGTTTGAAATTCGATACTGTATAGAGTATTAAGGCTTGGCTCCTTAGCAATAAAACATGGTGGACGAGTTGACTGCAGCAACGGGCTTTGCCATGGAAGTAAAGCGGCGTAAGCCGTTGAAGATTTGCAACTCAGCGCGATCAAGAGCACTAGGAATCGTCGCAGAAAGCCTGAGGGAACTTAAAGAAATTGCAAGTTCAAAATTTGGGTTGGTGGCAGCAAAGTGCCGGGTTTGTCTTGATAGTGATGGAACTGAGATCGAAAACGAAGAATATTTCAGCTTCCTTGAAGATCAAACTAAACTCTTGATTTTAGGTGACGGGGAAAGGTGGACAGATGGCCTTCAGAGTAAGTACAGATTCTTTTTACATATTTATTTCCTTTGGCACATTCAGCTGATCTGCGACGTAAATCAATTGTGTAACGTAAACGTATTTAATAATATGGTAACTTTTGTATTGTTTGGGTTCGTCTTTTGTATGGTACGATCATCTTAAAGTTAAGTTATACTTTGTTATACTTTACTTCAAATTTAACCGATACATGTGTCGTTGTTTCTGTTACGACTGCTCTGACATGACCGGCGTATGGCTGATCAAACGTGTACAATGAATGAGTAGCCAGTGATCGGATCCTTACGTTTGCGCAAAGATTTCTGGGATCGCCAAAAGGCAAACATTGCAACTCGCCAGAAAGAAATGTATGGGATACACTAAATCTCCCTCCAAGGGTGTCCACAATAAGGGGAGTTGACTGCATGTCAATGCAAGTGATAGTATGTCTAAACTATCACAGCTAAAACTAAATATGAGAGTGATCTTCACAGTAATGAACACTACTCAAGCAGTGGTGAAAATTAAACCCCCCAAAAAATTCAGGCCCATGTATGGGAGTTGAACCTATGTCATTGGTTCAACTTCCACTCAGGCCAGGTATTATTTTTACTGTTGCATAGGTAGTGTTTATTACTGTGAAGATCACTCTCATATTCAGTTGCAGCTGTGACAGTTTACACATCATATCTATGCACTTAGACTTAACTTTGATCTTACACTTACATTTTCCAACCAGTATGTTTTTCATGCCTGCCAGATTTTCAACAGAATTTGACATAAAACTACGGGAAATCTTCAGTTTGTTGGTTGGGTCATTCATAACTTAATAGCCAGGCATTTGATCAGGAGAAGGGGTACTGGACATGAGTCACTTTTGAAGCAGTAACTTATATTGCACTGCAGTACATAGCAAGGTTTTGTAAAGCCAAAAAACATTTATTTGCTAACACAAACATTGCTATCAGTGACATTGTAAACACCTTTGCAGTGGAATAAACATTTCTTGCCAAATTGTATTTAGCTGCCAAGGAAGGTGACTTTAAACCAGTTGAAGGGTCTCTTAATGACAACAGCAAGTAATATAATCTTATGAATATGAAAAAAGCAGCTATTTCAGGAGCCACCAAATTTGCAAAAGCAATGATCATTGTGTACCCTTGGCTTTTTATGAAGTTCTGCTCACTTGAATAAAGGCAAATAGAGTTACAGTGTAACTTGAAATTCAAACTGTGGAATAATGAATGGAGTTTTTGAAGTCAAAACATGCAAATTGTGAGGCACTCGATCACTTCTTGAATTAGATAATTACATGTGTAAACACAATCATGATAGCTGATCTGCTTCCAGTATTTGTTGCCCATCAGGTGACCAAACTCTGGCTCAATGTTTGTTTACTAAATCTCATACATGTATGTAGAACATGCAAAAATCACTTGTTTCACATTATTCAAATGTTTTTAAGAGCTGCCACATACTGGTAACTGCTTTATGCAAAAGACTGATATATGAAGTACAAGAGTAACAATCACAAAATTTACACGTACATATAGCAAGTTTTAGATTTACATTGGTAGAGGATGAGTAGGTAGATGTGTCAATAAATCAAAGGAAACTATGAATAAGTCATGGATACTTTATGTTTGAATGGGTTTTGAAGATAACTGAATTCCTCTTTATAAAATTGTACACTTTTACATGGAAAGATTCCTCTTTGACCCTTTGTTATGTAAGAAGGAGAGTACATAAACAGCACAGGTATAGGAATCCAAAGCAAATTGTAAATCCATGTTGGCTCTTCAGCCTTTTAAAAAGTTAGGGTTGTAATTATTTATTCTGATCTCTAAGGGAGATCTCTTAAGGAACAATGTTGAGTGCTTCAAGGAATGTCTAATGGCCTTTAAACACTGATCTTCTGTAAGTTTTGATTTTTTTAAGAAATGTTATATCTTGACCATAATTATCTCATCTTATCAAGAAGATTTCTAATATGATCATAGTGTTTTTTCAATTCTTTTAGTTCATCCTCTTCTAAATGGGTTTCTTTTAAAGGTTCTAGAATCATAGATCATGGCATTGGAGGCAGGGGGAAATTAAATCTACAAATTGTTTTACCACATTTTTTACAGGTCTTTGCATGTCTTTCTGTTTGTAGATTCACCAGTTCTCTCATTTCATCTGATTGTAATACAGTATCTGTGACACCTGAAATTCTCTCCTCAACTTCACACCATCCATCATAACCATTGTCATTACAGTCAGTGACTAACTGTTGGTGTAATTATCATGTCTTTGAGTAGCTAGGATCAGTTGAATGTATTTCAGCATTACCAGTGTTTGAGTGTGAATTACTGAGGAGTTCTTTCCATTCATTACTTTGATTTGCAAGAGCATCATAGGCTCTAGTATCAGGATTATCAAGCCAATTTTCCTGAACTTCTATATGCTCATTTTGAAACAATTTACTTGTTTTGACAAGGTATTTTGTTGCTTTTAACACTTTTCTTGGTCTAACATTCTGAAATTGATAATGATGCTTGAAACTCAACTTTCATTTAAGTTTGATGGGGTAATCTGTGATTCACTGATTGGTCTTGGTAAAGTGCTAACTGTTGAATTTACATCAGCTGATACATTAACAACATTTCCATGAATAGATAATTGTCCACCATTTATGTGTATCTGCATAAATGGAATATGCAGAAAAATTAATCTTTCTTCTAAAGGTGTTCAGTTTAAACATTGGTGTTTCATAGGTAATCCCATTTCATTTGCTTTAGAACAGACTGGTAGTTTCTCATTACTTAGGTTTGATTGGCAAGTAGAGCAAATCCATTTCGTATTATCTATAATAGCATTAGTAGTTATACATGCTTCAGGCAAAGTTGTGGAACATTTAGGATATTTGTTTGCTTCACACTTTCTAGCAGATGACCAATACCATGATTGATTACAGCAAGTACATGCATGTTCAGGACCACACTTACTGCTATCGTGAAAAGTTTGAGTGACTTTTGTCATTGTGAGCATCTCTTGTGTAGAATCTTGACATTTAAATTCATGAACTTCCTCAACTGCTTTACATCTTGGTCTTTTAGTAGCTGGCTGAAGCAGATCATGGTCACATGGGTTCAACCCAGACATCAAGGATCTCTTTCTATTCTGTGCATTTTGGTTCACTTCTCATACATGCTGAGGGTTACTGCCTGCCTATTCAGCTCTCTAATATGATCAGGATTTGATTCTTTGCATTTGTTGAATGCCCCCCTTTGAGATTCTCTTGTTTTTTCAATATTTTCTGATCTCTTTTCTTGCAGAGCTCTGTTTTGCTTATTTCTGAACTCATTATTGTTTTGGTTGTACACTGATCTATCATTAACTTTGCTAGCTGATTGTTATCAATTACATTGTTTTCCATTGTCTCTTCATTGAAAGGAACAGTTGAAACATAGTGTGTCATCAACATGTCCAATATTTATAACAGTTGTATCAGTTTCTGAACCAACTGGACTTATATTTGTAACCAATGCAAACCTGGATTAGATTCTATAACATGTACTGTCAAGTTTAATGCTTCTGCAACTGCTTGTTTCATAAGTGCATCAGCCCATGTACCCTGGTGTGACATTATTAGCTACATACCTTTACCATGAATGGTCTGGACTACTTTCGATGAATCTTTCTGGATCATTTCTCATATATTGAACACCAGTGCTACAACCATTCATGCGATAGCTAGGTTCACCACACATCTAATGATACACAACTCTAAAGAAGCATTCACCTGCACCACTTATATCTACTATTCTCAAGCCATTTTGAGCTAATCAAGATTGTAACAGTTCATTAAGATTGTTTAGTTTATTTCCCTGAGTAAAAGGTCCCGGGTTTAACTCAATATCACCTGAGCCAAGTAACTTTGCCCTTGTAACAAAATTGTTGTGATTTCGTTTCTTACACTTAATTGAGTAACATTGAACAACATGTACAAATTTATCATGAAAAACTGCAACTGATACTTCACGTCTTTTCATGCTTTGTAGTTCTTGTTTTGAAAACATAATCAACAGCAAAATACAATCTTGAACCTTTTGCACAAGTGATTCCAACTGGTTTACTTCGACACATTGTGGTTTTAAGATAATTACGTTAATTAAACGATGAAATCGTTTTCAACGCTGATGAATGTGGTACACTACGCATAATATGAGACCTTACATACCTCCAAATTGCTTTACTCTTATTAAATAAGTTCAGAATTCTCTTCCACGGTGATCTCGATGGTTCTCTATCACGACGGACTTTTAATTTCCTAGTATTGTTTCTGTTACCATCAGATAATTCTTCTGACTGCGTTTCGTTCTGCTTGGCCACAAGAGTGTTTTGGTTGGATATCATGAGATGACAAGTTGTGCTACTGATGTTTATAATAGCTTTGTTTAACCTTACGTTTGATTAATACTTTTGGTGATATGAGTGCTCATTGGTTCCCTCATAAATTCGATCATAAGTTCGATCAGAGGTTCGCTTTTAACATTCAATAGTAAAAGGCTTACTATTTATAAACCCCCTGTAGCCTTGGAGGATCGACGAGCAAACGCCTCAAGGAGTCAAAGACTCTTCGCATTCAGTGTCTACACTCATAGTCACACCTTAAGTCTTTCAAACAGCTTTGACTCGCTTACATATGTGCTGAATGCGACGAGTATTAATCGATTTGACCCCGGACAAAAGTCGTTTTTACGCTTCTCGTATCCGCGACTGGAAAGGAAGTGACTGAAGCTGATTGGTCAGAGGGCAATGTAAGTTTGATATTTTGACATGAGAAACTGCAAAATAATAAGTCTGAGATGAAAATAGCACAGATTTACCTTACTGGAAAATAAGCTTGAGCCTCAATCAAGAGTTTAATTAAAGTGGAATACTGGCTGTCTCCTGCCGTCTGTAGGACCTTGCGCTGGCATCTGTTTGGCCTGCCAGCAGGCTCTTGTGTTTGCTTTTACCTTATGGCACAGCTGCTTATTATACCATCCCCAGCCACTTATGGAAAAAGTTATTGAAACAGGTGCTCAAGGAACTGCAATTTTGCTGTTGATTGTAATTTTTTACTTTTTATGCCACAGGTGGGAAAGAAAAGGAAACTAACACAAAATCAAGAAAAGGTGAAGTATTATCAACTAAGGCAGGAGGAAAAGAGACTGAAGTTACAACAAATGTTAACAAGTTACTAAAAGTTAGAACAAATAGGAGCAATCTTTTTGCAACAAACTTTATATCTGACATGCAAGACTTAGAAAGTGAGAGCAGTGATGATGACATGCCATTGATGGAGCGTTTAAGCCAGTCTTTGAGGAGTCATGGGGAATTGAGCTCATTTGTAAATAAAAGAAAGGCACCAGAGCAGGCCAAGGAGTCCACGCCTCAAGGAGACAAAATGCAAGTTGATCATTTGATTAGGCGCCATTCATTGAAAGGGCAAAGAAGGACTCATGCAAGTGTGAGTAGCTCGAGGGAAGCTATTTTAGGTGCATCGGCTTACAAAAGTTTATTTACCATGCCTGAACACTCACGTCCAAGAAGGAAAGAAGCTTTAGAAACATCTGTAATTAAAGTGGCTGAGTGGCTCTCTGCAAATAACATGTCCTCAACTTCAGGTGCACACAACAGTGATAGTGATGAAGGTACCATTGATGTAGACGGTGAGATTGCAGGTGAGAAAGACTGTCATTTGACCCTTTACACCATAGCAGTAGTATTCATATTCTTCATACTTTGCTCTATAAATTTCCTTTGGTACTGACAAAGGAGAATTTACTTCAAAATTAAAGCTTCTAAGGTTGGCAATGGTTTCCTTTATTCTTATCATCTTGAGGAATGATTCTGCAGTCATACTGTAAGGACAAAAGTACATTGTAACCCAGGTAATTTAGTGTTAACAACTGAGTTGAAAACGTAAATTAGCCACCGTAAAAGATAAAAAGCTGACGTTTCGAGCGTTAGCCCTTCGTCAGAGCGATTGGAGGAATTGTGTGTTGTGTGTGGGTTTATATGCAGAAAGTGGAGCTACGCCATTGGTGGGATTATGGTGACGAGAAAACAGGAATAAATTAGTTGAATGAAAAGCGCTCGTTGATTCCGTGGGGAGTAAGGGTGCCAATTTGGAAGATGAATTTTTGTTCTAGTGTTTTACGGCTTTTTCGAACCACCTAGATGTAAGGAAAGGCTGCAGACTGCCATATGCTGTTTAGAATGATTAGGAAGATTAAAGTGTCTAGCGACTGGTTTGGATGCATCCTTGTCATTTCTTTCCACGTCGCGAGGTGTCAGAATCGGTCACCTAGTCGTCTTCCTGTTTCGCCGATGTATAATTTATTGCAATAAGTGCAAGTTGTGCAGTAAATAACATTGGCGGAGGTACACGTAAAGTGATCAGTGATCTTAATGGATCTCTTGGGTCCCGATATTTTCTCTACGTTATGAATGAAAGAACAAGTTTTGCATCGTGAGCGAGCGCATTTGAAAGTTCCAGATTGGTCATTGGTTTGAAATGAACTCCTGACTAAAAAGTTGCCTACGTTTTTGTCACGTTTGAATGAAATAAGCGGGGGTTGCGAAAAGATAGTGCCAGTCTCTGAATCGTTTTGGAGTAATTTAAAATTTTTACAAACGACAGATTTAACTGCGTGGTTGTGAGAGTGAAATGTAAGATTAAATGGAATGTGGTCAGTGTTTTCCTTCTCAGCCGTTTGTAGTGCTGCCTGTCGATCAATTTGTTGGGCATGGTGGTGGCCCGCTTGAACGACAGAAACATGATAGCCACATTTATCGAAAAACTGGCACATTAAATGTAACTGCCGTAGAGTTCAGGTTTTGGGCCGTGGTATTGACTAAAAAATTGATGTTCGATAAAACCTTCAAAAAGATTAGCGTAGCTGGGTCCCATTTTAGTACCCAGTTGTTAACACTAAATTACCTGCTATACTCTCCCACCGACGCAGCACCACAGTTTCTTTAGAAACTTACTCCTTTATACATTGTAACCCTTTCTCTTTCAAGATGTCATTAGTAACTCTCCTTACCTGTCTACTATCTGATTATTATGATGTTACTTGGGAGAATTTAGTTTTGGATCAACTAACAATCCCCTACTTGATATTTTCCCTATTCTCATCAATTGTGTGCTGGTACTCTATAGATATTGTGTGGAGAAATTCTGTCATGCATGGTCATTCATGGGAGTTAGAGGGTTAACAATCATTATAAAATGAATTTTTGGTTAATTTGGGAGAGATTGCGGAAGGTTTGCTGTCAATCCTCTTCTTCTTCTTCTTCTTCTTCTTCTTCTTCTTTAAAACCGAAACCAAAGTTTTTACAACAGCCAATCAGAGGAAAGAAAATACCCTGAAGAGCCAATGAGAACTCAAAGTAAAAAACAACCAAAATACCTAAAGCGCGGGAAAACGCGGGCTACCAAGTCGTGATTGGTTTTTTTTTTTTTGCAACTTATCGGTTGAGAAAGAGGCGCGAGTTTTCTGGAACAATCAGAGAGCAAAGTAAAGCAAAACCAATGCGATCCCGGATCACTTTCGACACTCAATTGAAAGTTGCTCAATGTTCTAGGATGAATTATCTGACCCGACCTTACACTTGTTCCAGAATTGACAATAATTATGGGAAGTGTTTTTTTTACCAATCGGATGTGTCTTCTGTCTGTTAAAGGTGGTTCTGAAGTTTCAGAGGAGAAAAGAGTCGACGAAGAACCAGACACAGCGGCCATAAAGACAGATGACGGTGAGGATCTGGATAATGATGATGACGATGAGGACGTAAGCTCTCTTAATGAAGTTGAAGACAATGGGAGCAGTGGTTGCCGCATGGCGGAAGTTTACAGCAAGGAAAAAGCCCCTACCGAGAAAATGGTGCGCTATCTTGGGAAAGATGTCGAGTTGAAAACCTTTCAAGTTAAAATCTATAAGCTGCCTGTTTCTGTGGGCAATGGAAGGCCAAGAGTCGTTGATGGGCTTCAAAGTCCTATAAACAGGACGTCTCAGAGTGAAAATGAAGCCGCTCAGTCGGATGAGGAAGAAGGTAAGTAACTACTGGTGTCTGATGATTCGGAACTTTGGATTTCCGATGGAAATTGCAAATTATCTCTTAAGCACGATAACAGTGATAAAAGTTGTTGAGCTCCAATATTTCCGTTAATTTGTGTATATACACGTACATAACTTTTGTTTTGGTAGAAAACGACACAAGTTCGCCACTATATTTAACGCCAATAAAGAATTTGCCAGAAGGCCAGATAGTGTGGTTGAAAGAAAAGAACGCAGTCACTAAAACTACAGAGGAACAAGCGAAGAAAGAAGAAGGAAACAAAGATGTATTGGAAGTTAATTTTGTAGGCAATGAAACAGTGGTTCAACAGCCCAAAAGATCAATGTCAAAAGATTTGGAACTGGAAATTGTCACACGGGATGTTAGTAAAAACCAGTCTGAACACAAGGAAGAAAAAAACACGGTTAAAAAGAGAGGGGAAGAAGATGAAGATGACTTTCAAGGGAATGTTTGTCGAGAGAGTAGTAATGATGGAGCTGTAGCTTCAAATGTAATGGTTGACGAAAATGTGAATCAGGAACAAGTTATAGAAGATTCCACTGAAAAGGAAGGCGACAAGAATGAAGAACAGGCCGGATTGAAAAGGGATGACAATCAATTGACGGATATGATTGATGGAGAGCGTGCAAACAGACACATGGAAGGCTCCAAACACATGCCCGATGGAGAGGGAGACCAAAATGTGGAAAATGGACTCGTCACTCAAAATTTAAGTGAAAAGGAATCTTATAAAGAATGTGACGAAATGAGCGTGGAAAATGTAGAACTTGAAGTTGACCCACAGAACCTTGATGAACAGACGTCGAATGTTGAACATGGGAAAAGTGGAGATGAAAATAAGAATTTCTCTGATGAAACAGCTATGAAATCGTGTGAAGAATGCGATGAAGTAGTCTCGCGTATCGAATTGGGAGAAGAAAAAGTAGAACTTGGAGTTGTTCCACGGAGCCTTGTTGAAAATAAGGAAAGAGGAAGTGAAGGATGTGAAGATATGTTAATTGAAGACGTCAATACGTTTGTCAGCCATGAAACAGCTAGGGAGTGTACTAAACTTGGATTGGAAAATGAAAAAGAACGGAAAATCCTGGAAATTAATGACGATACATTAGTGAAAAATGTCGCTCGAGATGATGTGGATGGTGACAATATGGTATCGAATAAAACGGTAGTAGAAGAAGTGGAAACAATAGATTCAAATGAAAATATAAAAGAAAACGAAACAAAAAGAAACGAAGGTGTACCAGTAAAAATTGTTACTCGAGATTTAAGTGATTTGGAACCGATATCAAGAAATACAGCTAAAGAAAACGGGGAAGAAGAACTTTCAGCAAAAAAGATGAGTGATAAGAACGAGGGAAAACTGGAAATTAATGACGATCGATTGATAATAAATGTTCATCAAGAATGTGTGGGCGACGAAGGAAACGACTCTGAGAATACCTTCGTAGAGGAAACTGTACGACTTGAAGAGCTCGCAAAGAAACCAAATGTAAGGAAAATCAAGCACAAAAAGAATGAATGTGAGTCAGTGAAAAATGCTGCTAGAAAATGCGTCGATGATGATGCATCAGTGGCAGCTGAAACAGTCGAAGGAGACGTGGAGTGTGCTTTGGTCACACAGGATTCTATTGCAAGTAGCAAACCAAGAAAAAGAAAGAGGAAAATATTAGAATTGAATGAGGAGGGGCCAGTGGAAAACTCTGTTGAACAGTGTGTAAGTGATCGAGACATGGTTTCAACGAAAGCAGAGACAATTGATAGAGAACTTGACGTTACACTGGAGTCTGGAGGAGAAAAATCCGAAGACGTCTTAATAAGTGCAAATGGGTCGGTAAAGAAAACAAAGCACAAAAAGAAGCGGAAAGAAAGTAATGGATGCGAGGTAGCGAAAAATGCTGTTAGAAAATGCGTTGATGATGATGCATCAGTGGCAGGCGAGACAGTCGAAGGAGACATGGAGCGTGCTTTGGTCACACAGGATTCTATTGCAAATAGCAAACCAAGAAAAAGAAAAAGGAAAAGATTAGAATTGAATGAGGAGGGGCCCGTGGAAAACTCTGTTGAACAGTGTGTAAGTGATCGAGACATGGTTTCAACGAAAGCAGAGACAATTTATGGAGAACTTGATGTTACACAGGAGTCTGGAGGAGAGAAATCCAAAGATGTCTTAGAACGTGTAAATGGGTTGGTAAATGCAATTGATGTAACAACAGCGTTCACGAAATCGATTTCAAAAAATATGGAACTTGAATTTGAGCAACAGCAACGTAATGAAAAGAAATCTAAACGCAAGAAGAAAAAGAAGAACGAAAACGAGAGAGTGAAAGAAGATGGAAGCGAGTTTGTGAAAAATGGTCATCGAACCAGTTTTGATAATGGTTCAATAGCGTCAAAGGGAGTGGCGGAGGGAACTATGGCTCATGAACAAGTCACACAAGAATCGACTGAAAACAAAGTCGACAGGAATGAAAACCAGGCAAGATTGCAGGGAGGTGACGATATTTTGGAGAATAAAGTTAGACGAGAGTCCGTGAATGTTAAAATGAAAGTCACAGAGAACATTTTGAACGCCGGTGCAGAAGACGGAAATTTGGAACTTGAATTTGTCACACAAAAGCCTAGTGAAGAGAGATCGAAACGGAAAAAAAGGAGATCAAAGAGTAAAGAAGACATATCGGTAAAGGGTGATATTAAAGAGGATTCGAGTGAAAAAGTCTCGGTTTCAAGGAAAATGATAAAAGAAATTGTGACACATGACATTACCAAGGAGACTTCCATTGATGATGGATTTGAATTGAATGGGAAAACTGAGGAAGAACAGAGATCCAGTTCGGTAAATGTCTTTAAAACCCCCAAATCGTCAGCGGTGGATAGAGATGATTGTTGTGAAGATGAAAGAGAAGCGAAAGACAAAAAAAGGAAAGATAGGAAAAGGAAACGTTCTCACGGTAATGATGGAGAAGGAAATCGTTTAGATCACTTAGAAAAAAAGAAAACAAGGAAAACCGAAGAAAAGAGGAGAAGTCGAGAAAAGACAGGGAAAAGAGAGACTGAAAGGATACCTGCACTTTTAAATCTTGAAAAAGCTGAATCGCTAGATGACAGTGGCTACAGTGAACACTCACCTACTGTGTTAAAACGGAGTCATCCACATTTGGCAGAAGAAGGCGAATCGGTGACGGAATCTACTGTATCCAAAATCAAGAAAGAAAAAACCAGCGTTGAGGCTCCAGCTGATCAAGGTAAGGTGGTGCAGTGAATAAAACTCTTAGTGGACGTGAATTTTACACTTTTGCTCCACAATACACGACATGGTTTGTGTCTTTGCTCGTAGGAGAAACTCTTCATGATTCAATCGTGAATGGTTTCACCCACGGGTTTAAATAAAAGGTAGTTACCAACGGTCCACCACCGCCTAAGATACATCTTACCGCTGTACAGCCGCCCATTACACCATTGGCAGCCGCTTATGGACAAAGTTATTGAAACCTCTGTTCACCAGGGCTCTCTCCCCTCTCGTTTGCTCTTTTCGGACACGAAAAGGATGTAAACGAGTAAATAGTTGTGAAACTTTGCAATGTTCAATTAGATGTTTTGTTCATGTTTAACAGGTCATGGAAAGAAAAAATCCAAGGCGTTGTTTTCCCTTTTGGACCTGGCATTAGATGGTAAGTATCAGCCAGTCGATAACTTCATCACTCAGTGTTACATACGATGTCGGTCACCACAGTATTTTGATGATATAAGTAATAGCCCATTTTGGCGCCATAGAAATTATATTTTCTGGTGGAGAACTGTATCTGTGCTAAGGGACCTTTCATCATTTATCGTCGGGGGCGGGGGGGTGGTGGAAGATTTTTAGGAAAATCACATGGTTTTCAGGGGGGACGGAAGGGGGGGAGATCAGTCCTCGCTAATAGAGTATATGTTTTTATCTTCCAATATTTCTGAAGTGACTTGGCCCAGTTTTCCTCTTTCAGCTTCGCACATCCTCGATGTTTTATGGTAGAACTCTATTAACAAGTGAATTTCTCTCCTGTTATTTTAGCTGAAAAATGCTTTCCTACTTTTGATTAAGTTAATTCTGAACGCAGACTTTTATAGATCAGGACTAAGGGTTTTTTGTTGGGCATTATCACCAAAGAGATATTTCCAAAAGATATCCATTCACCTAGCGGGTTTGGACTGTCCGCGGGAGAATGTTGATAATTTATGGATTCAAATATTTATTTATATAAATGGTCGTACCGCATTCTACAGATACTGCGGGCCCGAAGCACCCAAGCACCCCGTCCAAACGTCAAACGCCTGTGAGTGAGGGAAGATCATCAAGCCAAATAAGAAGACACTTTCGAGATAAGCCTAAAGGATTTACGCGTGTAGTTCAAAATCGGAAAATTTCTACACCGATTAGGACACCATTGGCTATGGCGCGCAGACCGCGGACCGAACCCAAAAAGAATTTTAACCGAGAAAAAGTAAAGAGCCTGGTACCCAGTAACGTCAGTTTTGATCAAGCCTTGGAGGATTACTTGTGGGAAACGTGACAAGATTGTGCTTCTTGGTTCACGAAACCCATCGGTTGGCGCAATCTTTATGGTGTAGGTGTCTTATTTATTTTTGGACTTCGTGGTAGATAAGCACCCAAATAACCCGAGCAACTTAATTCGTTGAAAAGAATATTTCAAAATTTCCTTTTCAGCTTATCTGCTTTTCATAGCTGATACAAGATGTTCCAGTGCATAATCCGAAGACTTAAATGTGTATATAAGTGTATAAAGATTTAAATATTGTCAGAAAGTCTTGAGATTCCTGCGAGAATACGTCTGACACCCCATTCACACCTAAGCTGAATCATGTTTTAACGCTGTTTTTTTTCCAAATGTAGTTGTAAATTACTTTCCTCATAGAAGCTGCTGAAACCGATGTTTTTCGGCTTCAAATTCAACACGTTGAAAATAAAATTTGAGAACTCTTAGAAACCTATGGAAAACTCAGTTTTTCAGTTCTTTGTCTCTAAGTTTCTTCAGTTAAACCTGGTTTAACTAAACATATTTTGCTGATGTGAATGGGGTGTTATTTCGGTCTCGTCTCTGACCATGTTTAGAGATTGCAAATAGTTGATTTTATGTCCAAAAGAACTGCTTTACTGTGTATAGTGACTTCAAATTTTGATAAAATTTCGGGTTGCGTAGAGAGAACTGTTAGGAACTGAAGGGCCTGTCTGCTTATAGTTGGATCTCGTGTCTTACTGTATAAACAGATTTATGTTCCCATAGAGGTTCTTACTAATTTTTATGTTACATGTTGTAATTGTGTTCTTTGGAAATAAAAAGAAAATCACACTGAGGCTGAGGTTAATATGCTTATTCTCCATTCCTTTCTTCATATACTACCCAATGTGCTGACAAGAAGAATTTTTTTTATGATCAAGAACTCAAGAGCATCTTTAGTTAACTCAGTCCTCATGTTGCCCTCTCCTTGAGTGATAGAATGACAGCGCTTTTTAATTCCTTTTTACGCATTATTAATCTCGTATTTTTTTCATGAGAGGGTAAAATTGCGTTTGATTCATTCTCTTTTTGTCATGTTCAACATCATCTTTGCATTCTTTTTCGTTACGCTTCCTTCCAGTACTAGAATAACGAACCATAATTCATTCAGTTACGCAATTTTGAAATAATGTCTTAAATATTTCTCTGTTCATTGCTGAGATCTACTGCCTTTGATGATATCAGTCTTTCAAATTGGGTTTTTTCGAGTGTCAGAATAATTTTTTCGGTCATAGTAGTTCCTAGAATTCAGTAGTTGTAAATTTTTCCCTCTTCAGTGTCACATGCCAATCCGTCATTTACAATGCCTTTCTTTGGCTTGATTCTTGATTAGCTGGCTGAGCGCGCAAACAGATCTCCGCGCCAAATTTGTGACGTGGCAGCCGATTATTGGCTGCAGTTGTTAATCCATATTCATCAGAAGTTGTAGAATTTTTAGCAAACCACGCTGTCCGTCGTTGAGTGAAGACGTGCCGTTCGTTGTGCTAAACACAACGTTTGGATCTGGAAGGAATAAGACTTCATCATCAAAGATCATCAACGAAAGCACGTTTATTTCATTACAACAACAGGTGAGCATTGCCTTTGGAAAATGTCGCCTTAATCTCCTTCAGAAATATAAACGAGTCGCATTATCTCAGTTCAACGACATAGCACGAAACGGTTCCTCGGTCTGGACGGCTCTTCAACTCGAAATTAGACTGAGTTAGAGTGCTGGCTTCCAGAAAAGCAAAACCTATGATTTTAAAATATTTTCAGTGAAACGCTACAATAAAAATATTCTGCTCACTAAATGTATCGGGGACTTAATTTTGTATTTGAATTCACCCGCGTGGAGTTCTGATGACTATACTACTTCGTGGTCTTCGCTTCATCGTAAATAACATTTTGAAAAAATGTTGATGCTTTCCCTTTTCTATGTCAAATAGCAAAATAATTTTTAATTTTTAGTTTTTGTCCTCGTGGAAAGTAAGCATTTCTTGATCATAATTATATTTTCTAATTTCAGGAATAGCAGCATTGTCAGAAGCATGGAAGAACAAAGATTCTGGTCAAGAGAAGAAACTGGAATCACCGAATTCTTAGTGGATACTGCAAAGATAAGAACTTTGAAATTATTTAGTTATAATAGCAAAAATGATGGTGCATTATACATCTAATTACTGTGCGAAATCTTCGTTCCTTCACCAATTGTCTTGGAACAGATAAACTGATTACACGGTGAGTGAATAGTTGTTAATTAGCCACCAGTTTTGAAATAGTTTGTTGTGTTACTGATTGTTATGCGGACCTTGAGCGATCATTTGATTTATTTGAACTACCAGCTCTAATTTGGTGTGATTTATCTCAGATAATCTCGTTGTATGAAATAAAAGATAGGGACAGCTGGAAACTGATCTAATCCTGTCTACGGAATGATGAAACTCATTAATTTCGAAGCTCTGATCGCTCCTTTTTTTTCGGTTTGTTTAACAGTTAGTATCACAGTTGTATCCCAGTTGATGTCGCGCAAAGATGATATTAAGGTGGCACTCCAACAAAATACGACGGCCGTAATAAGACCAAATGAAATTCAAAATGGAAGCGTTTTGATGAATTTGATTGATTTTGAGTCGTTTCTTCAAGTCAAAAATCACATTGCTCAACATCATCGACTTACTTCAAAGACTGACTTTGAAAAGCAAGTTTTATAACTTGAAGAGGGCTTCTCACAACAGATGATGACAGCAACTATTGGCACCTTACAAACGACTTTTAGAGACTAACGTGGTCACTAACGGACCAAACATAACAAACTAACTCTACCGATTGATCAACGGACGAACGGCATCTGAGAATGACAGCTACTTAACTCGACTCTGATGACCCCTTCTCAGGCCAGTCGCTAGTTTCGACAACAAAGCTTTCCTGGACTACTCTCACCCGGACGAGCACACTTCACGATTGACAACTAATGCATGAATTGTATTAAACTGAAAATTTAGGAGCTATTATAAAATATAAACATTTGTTTTTGATACAAAAAGCAAGAATTTAGTACAGTGTGATCTTAAATTATATCTGTTACTTTGTGCCATCAGCTGGGTTTATTTCCATATGGAAGAAATATGTTTTAAAACTCTAATGCCTGGTCACGAGTTCTTTCGGGAAACTGATTAAGTTGAAATTTACCTCTATTAAGATATCATAAACTGTATGATCTCTTGCTGCCATTTAAACCAGTTTAAATTGGCTCCTTTTCACAACGAAGAAATATAGATTTATATATCTCCAGAACAATTTATTCGATAGAAATTAAGGACGTTAATTTTTTCGCAAGTTGTTAAAAAATGGTTTATAGATTGGGCGAAAATCAACCTGAATATGCGAACCAATCTTTTGGACAACAAACAATAAATAAATCTATTAGCGAAGATTCTTTGTTACGAAATTTGCTCATCACGATTTAAAACACGTAAAATTAAAGACAGACGTTAGAATCAGAAATGCATATCAAACAAGATGTCGTATTTTTATTGCTGAGTATTTTCACATATTGCTTACGAGTTTCATGGAAATGTAAGGAATTACAAACAATTTTTTTTTACTTTAAAATTTAAATTCGTACAGAAGGCAGGTTGACTTTACGAAACCGAAGCACGAACCAAAAATGCAAATTGGTCATATTCAAATTAAAGTCTAAGGATATCCTTTGAGTGTATCCTCGCTTCGAAAAACGAAGTCTGTTGATTCCTTTACTGCGTTGGTTGTCATTGCTGGTTTATATAGAAATTCTTCTTTAATAAGACCTTTCGGAGTAGTCTCCAAAACTTAGAAATTAATTTGCCTTCTAAAAAAGAAACCCTTGTTAGCCTTTGGACCAGGCATTTAGTTTTAAAATATATAACGTAGTTAGTTTAATTACTCCTAATTGTAAGTGGAAGGAAGATCTTTCGAGCAGCCACTCGGTGTAACACAGGAATACAGAAAGAAATGATAATGAAAAGTTTACAGTTTTGATGAGAAATTCGGTTTGTAATGATACAGAGATCGTACGCTTTTGAAGACTAAATCTCTTGAAACGATTCGCTGTAAGAATTGATGACTTGAAGCCTAATTGTAAAACTTCTTTGCCTCTAAGAAGGTAAACTTGATTTCAAAGAATTTGTTCCTACAGTTTCTGCAGAACTATTTTATTTCTCAAATCGCCTCTAAAATACAGTTTAAGAAACTTGGAGCGTAATTCTTACATGTCTTTCATTTTGAAGGCTAAAATCAAATTTAAGAGTTCGCTCCAACTTCTTATAGAACTATTTTGTCAAATTGCTTCGCGAATCTAACAGCAATTTGGATTCTATGATTCATTTCTCAAAAGCATAGTGAAGTTTTTTAGAACAAATTTGGAGCCTAATTGCAATGTCTTGGTTCTTGTGACCAATATCAAATAAACTAGTATGCTTTGATAATTTAGTTTCTTTTTTCATCATCTAAATGAAGTCAAATTGAATCTGGAAACCAAGGTCGATGCTTTGGATAATTTTTTTTATTCCTCTTATCCTGTGTTACATTCGAAACTGATGGCTTTAAAGATCTTTTACTCCGTTGAAGACATCATGGCAACGTAAAGCTTTACAAAAATATGACGGGTTTTAAAAACACATTGATCACAATCTAGGACATGAATTTTGTATTTGTGATCGAACGCTCTATAGTTCGCCATGATGCTCTTTCTTAAGGAACTTCCACACATCTCGTGCAAAGAATTAAAGTATAAAGAAAGGTTAAGAGATAGACATGTCGAGTAAGGATTTCTTTTTATAGAAACAACATGGAATTGTTTACAGTGTATTGATTTTTTTTCTAAGAGAGGATAAATTGGCTTTTACTTTTCGATTCTTTGCACGAGATGCTGTCTATTTTTTAGCGGGAAATTTTTGGAAGGAAGCCTTGTTAAAATTTTTGCCGAAAATGTTGCCAGGGGATACTCTGTGCAAATTGGCCCAAATTTTCCCGCCAAAAGTCTTAGTATATACACGAAAAATTTCTCTTACCGCATTTTCAATCTATTTAATTGAAACAAAGTGATTAAAGAGAATTTGAGATGAAAACTTTGGTGGTTTATTGAGTATAAATTGCAAGACAATAAAAGTTGAAACAAAAACTGATCGCTGTACTTTATTGACTTATTGTCGATGGTAATAATACAAGAAGACAAGTAGATAAAAATTTAGTTTATTAGCAATGTAGACTGTCTGTTAAAAGTAAAGCTTCGGTATCTATTTAAAAAAAAAAATGGCGCATGCGTATTTTGGGCGCCGTATTTTTTTAGTCATTCGGCGGGAAACATATCAAACTCTTTCCCCAGTGCGACGAACATTTGTTTTTCTCGGTTCCAGGTGTACGCAACCACTAACCCCACGTAATGCGCATGCTCTCCGTTACGAATTTTCAAAACGGCAGACAAGCTAAAGAGGGAAATAAAAAAAAAAACAAAGCGATTTTGCGATGAATACTCAACATACATCCTCGTTAGAAAGGCGAATCCACGGAATAAAGATACAAAACTGTATGATCGATATGATATTAAATCGATACCGAGGGCCCGTTTCCAACTTACTAAGAAGTGCATTTAATTGCCATCCGCCACGATCACTAGCTTTCTTGACAGCTTTCTGAAGACAGTTACTTTCTTTCTGAAGACTTCTGATATGCGGCTATTGATTATTACACCTCGTATACCCGATTGCTCAAACACTTTGTTTACGATTGTTGAAAGGACCGACTCATGGTTCTCCGTCTTCGTCTT